CGTACACACACACAGCACACAGTATATGTATGAATATATATATATATATATATATATATATATATATATATATATATATGTGTGTGTGTATGTATGTATATATACACCTTGAATGATAGTTCAAGTATCCACAGCATCAATTTCACTATGCTTTTCCACAACCGTCACCAGCTCCAAGTGAAATGTCTTAACGATGTGTCCAATCTTTCTTAGTTTATTTGAAATATCTTGAATTGTTGGTTGATAATGACAAACTGATGGGGCTGCAAGATGTGGTTTCTTGATTACGATGCAATAAAAAGACCGTGATGCGAAAAGTAGGTTGTGGACGTTTTCGAGTGGACAAGAAGCTCACTGCTTGAGTGGACGTCGACTCTGTGGCTGGTGGCTGGAGCCGAACCAGTAGTGAAATAGATGGCGCTACAAACCGGACATCGCGAGTTGGATTGCCACATATATTCGGGGCGTTCTAACGACTGCAGGCGATGGGAACAACTGCGACTGCTGCGACATAAGCGGTTGTAGCATCCTTCCGTTTATTTGATGTCGGTTACGTGGCCGGCATTATTCTCGAGCGAGAGGGGTAGACGCAACTTTTCTCCGAACTACTGCGAAATTGGACCGGGTTCGTGAAAAGTCGCCCAGCATGTCACATAAAGCTCTTGGCTCAGGGGAGGACATCCCCCCCCCTCCTCCCTTGGATACGTCCCGAAATGATGTACTCGGGACTTCTACATCATTTCAGCCGTCGGTACGCCACAAACATGTTTGCGTGGTCCTCCAAAATACGTCGGCGAGAAGAGCGTAAGAAAAAAAAACTGCCCAATTTGCCCCGAATCCAACATCCGACCTACACAAAAATAATGACAACTGTGTAACCTACATAAATTTAAGGACATCTTGGTCACGGTGCCATGAGCGACGGAGCTCAACTTGGTGCACAATGCAGGGTGCCTCCGCTGGGTGGCAGCAACAGCCGTGAAGGGCGCGGTCGCCAGGCGGCGCTCAGAGCTGTGTCCCGGTGTTACGGCCTCCAGGCAACGTCCAGGCTTGTAGCCCGGCTATCGGGACGCTCTGTTACGAGGCCTCTCTGGGTGGGACGCCAGGCTACGAGGCCTCTCTGGGTGGGGCGCCAGGCTACGAGGCCTCTCTGGGTGGGGCGCCAGGGCTAATGAGGTTTACGGCCTTTTAGGAGGCGGGAATCTGCCTTTCTTTGTTTAGCGCGAAATAATCGCTATCCCGCCATTGGCCGAGCTCGTCAGCGGTACCCCATTGACCGGCCGGGCAGATTGGACCCCCTGCGCATCTCAAGAACGGTTGCGCTGAATTCAAAAATATAAGTCTCAATCGATAGCACCGTGACGTGCGGTTACATACAAACAATAAACTCAAGCTTAAGTGCGTATTTAGGTCACAGGTCAAGGTTGAATTCTAAAAATGGTAGTTTGGGATATTTTACTGCTCCCAGGGAGCGTTTTATTTAGAAACTTATATCGCGTTGTCAAATCATTACGCCCTGATCAGATATTCTTTAAAGGAAGGCATTTAATGTTACGAGCTCTGCACCAGGCCTAGAGTGTGTCGTGCGAATGAAAGCTAAAGCCATGGCGTTTATAACCTGTTTTGGCCTATTCATTTCCGTGATATTTTAAATATATAAACGTTAAGTGGAAGAGCTTAGCCGGAGTTGTGGGTATCGGACACATGAGCACGAGCGGTTGCTTGTTCATAAGCCGTTTAAGATAAACTTCAAATGGATGATCTTGGTGGTGAATAAGCGGTTGGATCAATTTTCGCGTTATTTTTAGCGGTTTAGTGTTGCCGACAGTGCAGCCTGATAGCCTTCAACCTCTCACAGTCACACGGTCGCTGGTTTGCGTGTGAAACTGATCAACGGCTTCCGCCGCCCCGTCACCGCGCCGCTGCGCCGCCCCGCCACCCGCCGCCGCGGGCCGGGCACCTGGGTACGGGCAACGTGTGCTGTAAGGCATTTCAACCTTGAATTTAGTCATTGTTTCATAGAATTGCTTAAAACTTGTTAAAGGCGTCATTCAAAGTCGTACCTAGGGCACAGCTTTCATGTTTTCAAAATTTTTGGTCTGGTATAAAAAAATGTTCAGCATGCTTTCTATAAATATTTTTGGTTATTGGACATGCCATTACTTAAATGCGCAAAATTTGAACAGCACTACGGCAAAGTATATGAATGATAGGCCAATTGGCTCACATTTCCCGTTTACAAATGTAAAATATGCCCTTTCGTTCGGCTTGTGTGTCAATTTGTCTTCGGCTATGTACTTTTGTGAGAAAAAATGCAAACATTATGGTACTCTGACGTCCCTTACGCTTGATCTGTTATGATCTTATAATTGTTCTTCTGTTACAAGGCCACATCAGTTGACATTCACTGAAAATTTCGCAGCCATATCTCAAGGCGTTTTGGAATGATCGCAAATACTAGATAGGGAGACAGATTTGACCCCCTGTTAATGCCGAGTTAAAGGGGTCAAAGCATGCAGTGTGCCTTGCAGTCGGTAAAAGCTTTCGCTTGATGTTTCGTGGACAATTTGAATTTTTTGTCTTTAGCGATGACCGTTCAAGTTCATCATTCAACCGTTAGCATAATACATGTGCGTTACAACCCGGTGATCTTTCCTTCCCACGCGCGCTGCCGAGGCTGCTCTACAGTTTGCAAATAATCAGCCAATCGGCCTGCATGCAACAGCCGTGCGGCAGGCGGTGTATGACTTTATTGTGTCTGACTTTTGGAGCCCATAGCGACGGCGCGTTAGGTCAGCGTGTCGTTGGGTGTCGGGAGCCCCTGTGTCGTACAAAAGCACAGATTTCTACCGGATTTGGCTCACCTTGTTTTCAAAGCTACAGGAGCTCGAGCATAAGTTAGGTGGACTCGAGTCCTTCCATGTAAATAGGAAACCATACGCAAGATCGAGCTGTTCGACTTCTGGGCTCATGAGGTCGCATGCAGTAAAGGAGCCCGACGGGCTAATCACCACCTCGTGGTGTACTGGAGGTCAAGAAGTCAGCATAAGAACCATGAACTCATAATGATATATATATATAGGTGTGTGTGTGTGTGCAAGTGTTGTTAAAGACCTTAGCGCAGGTACATTTTATAAGCTTTTTGTGCCCTTGCTTGAGTTTTCTGATCACGGCTCTCTGCTCATCATTGACACTGAAAAGTAGCTTGCCGATGTTTGGCATCTATTAATTGCACTAGCGTTTCGGAATTTCATATTACATTTTCAAAGTTTCACACATAGGGCATACAAGCGACGAATATTTTAGTACATATCACAGTTAAGTATAACCACTAGGGTACGACAATTAGGCTTCGTCAACTTATGTTCGATTGCCAAAGTACACTGGGTCTGAATAAGATGATTAACATTTTTTAGGAGCATAACAATTCAAGAGCCAAAACACATGCTGAATAGTAAAATATGCACTCTAAGGATGGTACCGATCGTCCCTAAATGAGGTGAGGGGTGACTGAGGGATTGGCTTGTTTGTTTAGTTCCGGTGACGATGTTTTGAATGTGACAGCCCCCAGAACATAAAGCTTCCTCCTGTTTGATGATGATGTGATGGAAGTGTTTTTTGCCAGGTTGTCTCGGTTGATGCTCCGGCCGTGCTCTTTTCGCACGGCTCTTTTGGAGCACTGTCAACCAAGTACATCGCCAACCACCATGAAAGTGTGGTGGTAGTAATACCAACGTACTTTAGGAGCCTGCAATCTCCTATGTCACAGCGAAATTGGTAAACGACACTGGTTCGTTTCATGGGGTTAGAGTTGGTTGTGAGGTTATTTTTATGATGGGTTAGGGTGATCTGTCTGTTTTTGTTATAGATGGTGAGCATTCTATTGTCGTCCTGGCTGACTCGCTTGACGTTGTCATATATTATTTTATTGAGGATACGCTCGTTTGTCTAATAACCACCAGCCAGTTGATTCTCATAGAATACACTGATTGGATTTCGCTGATGTTTGATTGCGTTAGTTTTTGTCTGATATTGCGACATAGAGTTGCTGGTCTCATGGTCGATGGGACTGCCGGAGTAGCCATTATTTAACAGGACTTGCAAAGCAGCACACCGGCAAGTTGCCGTTCGTTTAAGCCTTTCGTCTTATTGACATGGCGGCAAAAAAACCGTCGACTAAATAGCATTCGGATGGAGGCGTTCGGCAAAAAGACCTTCGGTTAATACGTTTCGTTATTTGTCCGGATACTGATTACCTAGCCAACATGCCCAACTGAAACTAATTTGGATGTGAGATGGGCAGGCACATGGTGCCAATTCGGGCTGCCCACTTCGGTCCCATGTGGCCATGTTATGGACAGCCAATTGGGTCTCACATGGGCAGTTCACGCGGGACCCTTGTGGAGTCTGACTGGGACACATGACACTTTGCAGCTCACATACATGCATAGTGGTCTCGATCAAAGGACGACCTTACCCCTCCTTTGTTGTTAAGGAGACAGACTTAGGGTTACCACCCAACCGGAGCAGGGTAGCAAAGTGTTTATGTTCATCGTGATGCACGCCATCATCTCTCTGCGCGTAGCCCCTCGGCTAGGCCTATATATACCCCGAGGCGAACGTCGTAAGTATGTTATTGACGAAATAGCTCCTGTTCATCTCTATCAAATGGCAAATCATTTCGCGTCTTGTGTTTTTGAGCTTACAATTAACGTACTCAAAATGATATAGCAAATGTAAGTAAATCACCAACAAAAAAGTACTTATCTGATGACGCGATGGAATGCATACTGCTGTTTGTTATGCACTCTTCTTAGGGATTTAACTTTTTTGAAAAGTTCTTCTGTCCAAAGGAACAGCATCATTGCTTATCTTATCTCAATATTTTATTACACTTTGTGTTATATTTACCAACAGCAGGGTTTTCAAGTATACAATGAAGAGCAGGGAAATAAATATCTGGTGTAAAACGTGATACCGTCACTATTTCAGCAGTCAGGTTTCGTCATGTGGATGTGAGCGTCGTTCCGCGATATGAGATTGACTCGGACGATTCGTGTTAATTCGCGACGAGGTTACAGGGAGGAAATCGTGCCGGCAATGATGGTGTAGTGATAGAACATCAAGACAGGTCACCAACTTAGAATAGTTCGGCGTTCAGCCTTGAGCTGCGGCGACTGACGACTGGATGCCATTTTTCACGTCGGGGTCTGCGTGGCGGTGAGCACATTGAAGCTGTTTTTGCCACTTTCCTGCATAATATGCTTTGAAATACTTCAGTCTGGTGTACTGTGATCAGAAAAGAAAAATCGTCGTAGAATATTGTTGGCATTCCGCAGTGCCGCCGCCATTTTTGTTTGTAGTGTTTTGGAATGCGACGATTCATGTGCACCGCGAACGAACGTAGCGCGATCATTTATTTTGCGTTCTGTTTCCTGTGAATTTAAGAACCGGAGTTTATTGTCCAAATTTGTTTTTCATGTGCCATAAGTTTTTTGTGTGTTCCCTAGCAGTATCTTTTGTTTAAAAGAAGATTGGTTGTCAGCATTAATGTACCACTCGATATCAGCATGGTGAACTGACCTCTGCCAAGTGATTATGATGTGGAAGTTTGCAATTTGGCCAGCTTGTGTCATCTTTGAGCATTTTAAGCCAGCTTGAGCTTAAGAAATTTCTGCCAATGTCTTAACTTTTGGCAATACCCAATCCCAGCTTGGCAAGGTGTTTCTTAGCTGTGTTATTATTGAAAGGTGTTATTCCTGTCATTGAGTTATTTGAAGGGCATGGTGAACTTGCATGTAGCACATGGCAGCAAGGGTTTAGGCATAACACTTAAGGATAACATAAGGCTAGTGGTTTCTGGCTGTGCAAACTGGAAGCACAATTTATGAGTACACTGGGTAAGAAGCCCAGTTTCTGAGAAGTCTAAACAAGCCAGCAGTAGTCCTGAAACATTTTCAAAGTCAAGGGTTTTTAATGCACTTGGCATGGTTTTGCCAGAGTGCAGCAAATATGTAAGGTCAAAAATCACCCATGGCCAAATGTCCAACTGCATTCTAGTCTGAGTGAGCACTGGTAACATTGTGGTGTGATTAAGCACTGTCTAAAGCATGTATTATGTAAGTTTTGCTTGTGTTTTTGCCAATTTTTCTGATGGTTAAAATGATACTTTATAAATGCATTGGTTTGTAGATAGATATCAAATTCTTATGCCATTTATTTCTTAGGCATCAATTTTCAATAATATGTCATCCTGTTTGCATGCAACACCAAAAGTGATGGCTTTGTATAGCTGGATGTGACATGAGTTCCTTACTTGATGCTGCCACCTCTTGGAAAGCACAAGTAGCCACCAAACTCCCCTTACACAAGTGTGGAAAGCTGCACCTTGAGTGCCTAGTTAGGAAGTATGCCCATCTGTCCACCAGAAGTTCCCTAGTCTGTATAAGCTGAAGGAGGCCATCATGGCTTTTGTCATGGCCTCATAGGAGGATGTGTTACTGAATGCCATAAGTAGCATTCATGAGTCAATGAAGGGTCTGAATGGGGTGGTTTATGCTGACAGCCTATTCAGGCATATCTATTTTGTATACTTGGCTTGTCAAAGCAACTAGTTTTACATATTGATGTTTCTGATCTGGTAATGTGATCAAACAGTTATGCCAAAATTTGTCACGCATGATCTCCCCGTCATTTCCATTTAGCATGCAAAATATTTTTTATATGCTTTGAAATTTTCTTGAAGAGATGTAACCAAAGCTGTGAATATTTTTGAATTACTTACAATATCTGAAATTTGGTTTTGGCTCATGGGGAAAGAAAAACATTAAAATAATTCCTTCCAGTGAGAACCAAATAACCCAAGTAAGTGCAATGCATTGACAGCTGGCACTAGAGGACATTCTTTGGCAGCAGATGACAGTGCTATAGCTGGTCTCAGTGATTGCCAAGGACCATTAAAGGTTGGCTGCTTGCAATTCTTAAATTTTTTACCTTCTTAAGTGCTTCCTTCCTAAGCAGTGTTGGAATGTCAAAATATTTCCTGGTAGCAGGGCACAAAATTGTCCAAGTACTGTGGGTCATAACAGCTTTATGTAGGTTATCTTTGGGGGATGAAAGTACAAGGAGCAGTGCTCAACAAAAGCATGACTTTTCAGATACAGCAATTCATGTAAAAGCACTTTAAATGAAAGGAAACATCAGTATTAAACACTGTACACTGAAACAACACAGTGTCATTCTCCTTACTATGGAAGACGTGCATGTACATTGGTTTACAATTTATGAGAGGCTCTGTGTATACACCCTCCAAAATGGAGGGTTATTACACATCAGGCTTATACACTCTCCAAAATGGAGCGCGACTTCACACTGGGCTTGTACACCCTCCAAAACGATACACACAGCCAGACAAAAATGGTGCACAAAAAAATGCAAATGAACATGTCACAGATTGCCACCTAGTCATGCTCCACCACAACCACACTACTCATGCCCCACCACGGTCACGCTACTCATGCTACACCAGCTAACTGGTTTTAAAGACAGCTTAACATCCATGCCCTCCACCTTCCCACTCCTGGTCAAGACACAAGGCCCTGCATGTCCCACCCAAACAATAGAGGCAGGCAGCACTCTTAGCCGATTTACTGACCCAGCGCAAGAACTACAATGCGGGACAGACCCCTGCAGGCCGGCCAAAAGGGATCAGAGTCAGTCTTTCTGCTGACTCCGGCAGATAATGCAAGGTATTAATGGATTTTGTTGCACTTTAACTGATATTGCGAAATGTTATAATTTTTGTTGCAATTCTTTGATGTTTTTGTCCTAACAAACCCTTCTCCTAAACCTGTCTGGCTGTTTCCCAGCTTCTTCTTCTTAACTTGCCTTAACTCTGAACAAGGTTTGATCTCACTTGTACTATTTCCAGCATATAGAGTTGAAAAGGTGCATTACTTGCTGTCATGGATGCACACTCATGGCAGAGTAGTAATATTTATAAAATATATAGATATGCCCCTTGGCATGTTTCATTTGATGAGCATAAGCTTGGGAGCATTTGTTTTGGCTTAAAGGAGATTGTTCACACAGAAAAGTGAAATAAATCTTTGCAGGGAATGGATTCCAATGGCAATAATGTTTGAAATGATGCTTCCAGGTGAAAGAAAAAATGGCATCCAGAGGAGCTCCACAGATAATGGTCTTTCGACCCACTTATGACGAGTTCAAGGATTTTGCAAAGTACATTAAATATATAGAATCTCAAGGTGCCCACAAAGCTGGAGTTGCAAAGGTGGGTACTGCGTTCTTTTTTGTTTGGTCTACCAAGGAACCATCTACCCACTTTTTTGTGTGTGCTGAATAGGTTACTGGCTTTGGCCATCTGTATTCAAGTTGATATGTGACTGATATTAAAGCTGAAATTACTGTTTTGGACAAGTCTTACACAAATGTGCCATTTTGTAATGTGTATAAGCCATCATGTGATGTGCCTTCCAGGTTTTGGACAAGTCTTACACAAATGTGCCATTTTGTAATGTGTATAAGTCATCATGTGATGTGCCTTCCAGGTTTTGGATAAGTCTTACACAAATGTGCCATTTTGTAATGTGTATAAGTCATCACATGATGTGCCATCCAGCATTGTAGTCTTGGGAGTATAAGGTAAAAGAGACTAACACAGCAAATGTTGCAGATCATTCCACCAAAAGACTGGGTTCCAAGAAAAGGAGGACTAGACATCAATGAGATTGGAAACATTGTTATCAAAAACCCAATATGTCAGGTAACTACTGATAAGTCTTCAAGTGCACAGCTACAAAGGTTCTCTTAAGTGTTTTGTGCTTTCCATGGGGAATGGGTTTGGGCAATTGTCCAGGCAAGCATGTGGTTGGATGCTTGTCAATTCATTCTTTATTGATGATTCATCTATGCATTTATACCTTTCAACACAGATTAACTTCGTAAGATGCATTTTGGTGCAAGCTGTGGTGTTTTCGCCTGCTTCATTTCGTGCAGCTCGCCTGCCACCATCCGCCATGTGGTTAACTGGCCATTTTCACGTGCAGGTGGTGACAGGGAGGCTGGGGTCCTACACTCAGATCAATGTTCAGAAGAGTGCCATGAATGTGCAGGAATACCACAGGCTGGCCAACAGCCCCACCTACCAGACGCCGCCACACGACAGCTTCGAGGACCTGGAGCGCCGCTACTGGAAGAACATCACCTATGTGTCGCCCATCTACGCGGCGGACGTGTGCGGCTCGCTCACCGACCCGGACTGTGATGTGAGTAGCGGGATGGCGCGAGCCCGCGCTGTCCGGTCGGCGAGCGCGCGCGACTCGCTCACTGACCCTGGCTGGGATGTGAGTGGCCAGGTGGTGTGAGCGCGCGCCGTCCGGCCGGCGGCGGCTGGCGGCGTCCGACGCGGACGCAGCCAACAGCCAGCGCCGGACCATGTCCGGCGCTGGCTGGCGGCATATGGTGCCTCATGACTCCTGCACAGGTCTAGGATTCAGGTAGTGCTGCCATGCATTGCTCATTTGTGTGCCCTTTTTGTACTTCCATTCACAGCTTCCTGAGGTGTGTGGTACAATTGAGGGCTGGTAGGTTAGGTTATAACAAGTTACTTGCCTGCTGAATGTTCGAGAGCATGTCTGGTGATGGATTTGGTGACAGCAGAACTCTTGGCAAGGATGTTCAATTTTGCTGAGGTGCTTGGTCTTTTAGCATGTCACCTTATTCTATTATGCTTTCAGGTTTGGAACATAAACAAGCTTGGGACTGTGCTAGACTATGTGGAGGAAGACTATGGGATCAGCATCGCTGGTGTCAACACTGCCTATCTTTACTTCGGAATGTGGAAAACTACTTTTGCCTGGCACACAGAGGACATGGATCTCTACAGTATCAACTACCTGCACTATGGTGCCCCAAAGTCATGGTAAATTCCCTTCACAGCATTTCTGATTGTGGCTCATTTCCTTATCACGAGGTTCTTGGCTGCCTTTCAATATATGTATCATGTGGCTTTCAATTATCAATGCACCTGTGATGTTAACTAGCAACTGCCTTCATGGATGTATCTTGTATGTGCCTGCCAATCACGACAGATGTCGTCGTCCTGAGGAGGTCGTCCCTTGTCACCAACCCTGCGCATGACTCCGTCTGTGGCAGAGGTTGGTGACCCCCCCCCCCCCCCCCCGTCCCCGTCCCGGCAGGTACGCGGTGCCACCGGAGCACGGCCGCCGTCTGGAGCGGCTCGCCGTCAACTTCTTCCCCTCCGAGGCGAAACAGTGCCCGTCTTTCCTGCGCCACAAGATGTTCCTGCTCAGTCCACAGATACTTAAGAAGTACTCCATCCCATTTGGCAGGGTGCGTTGGCATTGGGGTGGTGGCACTCATTAATGGTTGCAGGCTGAGTGAGTCATGCCTGTGTGACTGAATGGACAGGGTGGTCGGTGGTCATGGTCATTGTGGTCATCATTTGCAGCAGATGTTAAATATGATGTATTGTTTCTTCATGAAGATCACAAGAAAGCTACCTGCTTTGTGATAAGCATTCCAGCTGTTTGTGTTGCTAGAACACATGTTGACCCAGAGCCACAAATATACATCTGTGGCGATTGAGGGTGAAACTCAGTGTTGTTGTATGGAACGGCTTTCAACAGACTATTGACAGATCACCTGGCATTACAGTTTGATGCTGCAGCCATTGGGGTATTCAGGTGATGAAAGACATCCATCTGTCTCCACAGATCACGCAGGAGGAGGGTGAGATCATGATCACCTTCCCCTATGGCTACCACTCGGGCTTCAATCATGGCTTCAACATTGCAGAATCAACCAACTTCGCCTCAGAGCGCTGGGTCGAGTATGGCAAACGTGCTACCCTTTGCCATTGCAAGTAAGTGTAGACCATGGGCTAAAGCCAACAAAGCTGGGTCAAGTACAGAGGACCATAGTTGGTGTTCATCTACAGGCTAATGCTGCGACTGTCTGTTTGTGGACATCTGCTTTCTACTTGTGATAAGGTTGGGATTTTCTCTCCCCCTCTTTCTCTTTCTCTTTCCAAATATCCACTCTTCTGGGAATTTAACTCTGCAATGGGGCGTTTTTCGCTATGGTTCACCCAACGCGAAGTGTGGAGTCTGCATCTAATTGTGGCAGCAGCAGAAGCCTGCCTGTGGTGGCAGCAGAGGTCCGCCTGTGAATAATCTGACTGCGCTCCTGACTTGTGCTGACTCTGCGCCTTCGACGACGCGCCATGCTGCCGGCCGCCGCCGTCACCCGCCGTCGGCTGACGCCCGGACCGCCCGCCCGGCAGGGAGGACGTGGTGCGCATCAGCATGGACACGTTTGTGCGGCGCTTCCAGCCGGAGCGGTACGAGCTGTGGCTGGCCGGCAAGGACATCGGCCCCCACCCGGAGGATCCCTCGCGCAACACGCCCGCCAACCTGCCCACGCACGCCGACGTGCTCTGCAACAAAAAGTGAGACTCTCGCGCGCACATGCTGTTGTTGGCTGGTGGTTGGCGACTGCCTTGCTGAACTCATAGCGAACACCCAGGCGCGCTCATAGGGCACGCCGAAAGTCACTTTGATTTTGAGCATTGGTACGGATTGGTTGCAGCATAGTGTCTATGTCACAGGGGCTTTACAATGTGCTCAGCTCCTGAGGCTATGTGGGGTTGCCTGCTCCTCACCCTGGCAGAAGAACGGTCACCGCGAGCAACGGAGCTCCGTATCTCTGGCGTCAGCCGTGTAGCTTAACCAGTGCACTGTCTGCAACCCCGCGGCTCTGTGTAACAAGGTGTTTTTCTTCATAAAAGCTGTCCTCAAATCTCATTAGTTTGCTGGCCTTATCGACACGTTATGTCGACACTGTTGACGTGCCATATCAGCTGCTTGTGTCACAGCAGAGTGAACTACCCTTATTCGAGCGGCCGATTGTTTTGCTGCCGGCGTGCGGTGGTCACGGCCCCGCGGCGTGGTGTCGGTCCGCCCGTCAGCTGGCCACTGACGGCTCTTGCTCTCGCCAGTGTGGAGGACCAGGCGAAGGTGACGGCGCTCATCGACTCGCAGCAGAAGCGGCACAAGCGGCACCCCATCCACAAGCGCAAGGGCGCGGACGGCGCCGGCGGCGACAGCGAGCAGCAGCTGCTGGCCATGAAGGCGCTGTACAGCCGCGCCGACCAGTCCGGTCAGTACACGCGCCCGAGGCGCGGCGGCCGTCTGACACCGCTGCTATCTGGAGATTGTGACGGGCCAGAGTACACAGAGCAGTGGTGTCTCTGATTCGGTTATGCTTTTAGGTAAAACATGTTGAAATGTTTGAGGTTGTTTAATAGCTCACGGTCGGGATTACATAAAAATAAATTTGTGCACACTATTGTTAAATTAAATGTTCAACATAGATGATTATGTTGAATTTGTATTTCTCATGGGGCATGAATACAGCTGGCGGTGTACTTTTTGTTTGCATGTTATGAGGTTTGCTTTTGGGAATTACACAGTGCAGAAGCTGTGCAGTGATGGGGTCATTAGAGTCAGCTGGTCAACGTTGTCCGGGAACATCTGGCATTGCAAATGGCTAGCAAGCAGGGTTTCAGGGAAAATGTCAGCTTCATGGTGTGATTGCTGTCCAATTGATTATGTTTGTTGCTTTGTGATTCAGTGGGCTCTCTTGTACTCACACTGGTCTGACGGCAACTCACTGTGTTCTCCAAAGTAACGCTCATCCTGGCCAGCTGTGTATGATGACGTTCTTCTTCACAATCCGCCTGACAACTGTCCTCTTCTCTCAGACGAGGATGACGGCGACGACGCCGACGACGACGAGGAGGAGCCGCCCGACTGGGAGGACGAGGGCCGGCCAAGGCCCCGCCGCGCCGGCGAGCGGCCCTTCCGCAAGCGCACCGCCTGGGAGGCGGAGCTGGCAGCGCCGCTGGACCCGTTGCATGACCCGGTGGTGGCGCTGGAGCGGCTGCGCACCGGCGACATGCCGCGCCCCGAGCCAGACGAGGTGTGCCGCGCGCCGCGGCGCCGCCACCTGGTGCTGGGCGCGCGCCGCGTTACCTACGAGCCGACCGGCGACGGTGCGGCACTCCGGCAGCGGTTGGTCGCCATGATGAAGGAGCGGCGACGGCGACGCGTGGCCGAGGGCAGTGCCGAGCTGCAGCTGGCGCTGCAGCAGGCGGCCGACCAGCTGTCGGCGCTGCTGGACGTCACCGACGAGCAGCGCCGACAGGCCCGCGAGGCCGAGGCGCAAGAGGCGGCCGAGCGCGAGGCGCGCCGCCTCCAGGCTGAGGAGGAGGCGCGCCGCGCCCGCGACCAGGAGAAGGCGAGCGTGATGCTGCCCACTGGCGAACCCGGACCGGCGGCCACGCTGGTGGCGTCCGGTACGGAATTCCGCCCGGGCGAGGACGCCCCGGCCGCCAGCTCGGAGCTCAAGAAAGCCGTCAAGAAGGAGCCGAAAACGTCCGCCTCGCTGGAGGAATCGCGTCTCAAAGAGGAGGCAGTCATCCAGGAGATTCTCAAATCGATGCGTCAGGAGGCAGGCATGGAGCCACCCGAGAAGAAGTTCAAGATACCGAAGAAGTCACGGAAGCCGTCGTCACCGGGGCGGCCGGCGCCGTCTACGAGCGGGAGCGCCGCTGGCGAGGCGTCCACGCAACTGGCGCAACTGAACGGATCCCACGGCACGTGGCCCAGCGACGCCTGGCCGCCGCCTCCGCCGGCGGCCGACCCCGCCGACTGTCACGCGCAGCCGTCTTTTTTAGCGGCAGGCACTGGGAGGTGTCAGGAGGGCCTTCCAGTGCGCGCTGCGGTGTCGGCGACCGTTGCACCTCCTCTGGCGCGCCGGCGGCGGCTGACGGCCGGCCTGTTGCGCCGGCTGGCGACGCTGGTGGGCCACCGCGGCCAGCCGGCGGCGCGCCGCGCCCGGCTGGCGCGCCTGCTGGCCGAGCCCCAGCTGCCACCGCTGCTGCGCCGCGGCCTGGCGCGCCTGCTGAGCCAGTGCGACACCTCGCGCCGCCCCGGCCAGCCCAGCAGCACGCTCACGCCGGCCAGCAGCAGCGCGAGCTGGCCGGGCGGCAGCCGCACCTGCTGGCCGCCGGACCGGCAGACGCTAAACCGCGACCGCCCGGGCAGCTGGACGGTGAGCGCCCCCTCCCTGGGCTGCTGGAAGACAGGCCCTGGCTCCACGGCCGGGGACTGGCAGGGCCTCAGCACACACATATCAACGGACAGGGAAACGGCTTCGCCCAGCCCGCCCACATGGGTGGAGATGCCCCCGCTCATCAGCCCGAAGGTCGAGTGGTCAATTCGCACTGGCCTGGCCGCGGACGGGGAAGAGATCCGGCGTGGCAGCCTGTCGGATGCCCAGGCACTCCGTCCTGGCAGCCCCAGGGGCGAGGGGACTGCCCGGCTTGGCAGGGTCCCGGTCGAAGGGACGACCCAGCCTGGCAGGCCATTGGACGGCGGGATAATCCTGGCCGGTTGGAACACGGTCGAGGTGAAAACGGAGCGCGACAGGGACTCGAGCGACGGCAAGACCCAGGATGGGATGGCCAAAGATGGGGAGACGATCCAGCAAGGCAGGGATGGGGCTGGAGGAAGGACCCAGCGTGGCAAGGTCCCGGACCAAGGGACGATCCGGACTGGCGAGATCAAGGACGACGGGACGAGCCAGCATGGCAGGGCAACGGGCGAGGGCACCACCCGGCGTGGCCAGGGCGCGGACGAAGGGACGGCCCAGGATGGCAGGGTCCCGGACGAAGGGACGACCCGGCATGGCAGGGTCCCGGACAAAGGGACGACCCGGCATGGCAGGGTCCCGGACGAAGGGACGACCCGGGATGGCAAGGTCCCGGCGGAAAGGACGATCCAGGATGGCATTGTGAAGGAGGAAGAGATGATCCACCATGGCAAGGTCAAGGAAGAGGAGACGACTCATCTTGGCAAGGTCAAGGAAGAGGAGATGACTTATCTTGGCAAGGTCAAGGAAGGGGAGACGACTCTTCGTGTCAAGGCTCAGGCCAGGGACACGGTCGAAGGGATGACCTGTCTCGGCAAGATCGAGGTCAAGGGGATGACTCACCCTGGCTGGGCGCCAGCCGAGGGGATCCCCAGGCCTGGCAGGGTCGCGGCAGAGCCAAGGCCGTGCCCTGGCGGGGCGGCCGAGTCGACCCCGGCTGGCACCACCCCCAGCCCGGTGGCGGCGGCGGCGGTGGAGACTGGCGCGGTGGCCCCCACCGGCCCGACCTTCGGCGCCCGGACGAGCTGGGACCGGAGCCCGGACAGTGGCGCGATGCCGGGTGGGGGGCGCGAGGAGGCCGACCGCCGCACGCCGCTGCCGGCCGAGTTGGCGGCCCGGTTCGCGGCTGGTCGCACGCCGGCCGGCCTGGTGGGCGTGTACCGCTGCCGGCCGCGGCCGCCGCCAACGCCTGGCCGGGAGCCGAGCGGCCCGGCCGGACTGCCGCCGATGGCAGCGCTCTCGCCGCAGAGGGCGCGCCTGCTGCAGCAGCTGCTATCCCAGTTGCAGCGGCCGGCCAGCACGACATGTGGCAACACCTCGCGGCGGCCACGGGATTCTGGCAGCAGCAGCAGCAGTAGGGCTGAGACCGAGGTGTCGTCGGCGGACTCTCCGGCGGCGCCGCCAGACCCGCCGTCCGTCGGCACCGAGGCGATGTCCCGCGGCACCGAGTCGCAGCTCGACGCGGCGCCTGCGGCGGCTCCGCTCGCTGTAGTGAAGACGGAGGAGGGCGGACCCGAGCCGGAAGACCAGCCGTCCGTCTCCGGCCTGGAGCTGATCCACCAGGCCATGATGCAGCTGGAGGGGAGCGCGCCCCGGCGCCGGAGCGGCGGCGCCGTCAGACAGTCGTGGAGGAGCTGCCCGGAGGCCAGCGAGCCGGTCGCGCCAGCGACGAACGAACATCAAACGCTGTCCCCTGCTAGAGGCGACGGAGAACACGTGGGGACTTTCGGCTCGGGGGATCAGCAAGCAACGGAACTGCAGGCCCTAGACCCCGGACACGACAATAATAGTATGCAGGTACGTAATTCTCTACTGTTTGTGTCCGTTTGTTTCAATTGAGTTTGGTTGTTAATTCGTTGGAGAGCCAGACGTGACTAAAAGCTGACATACGCCAATTGCGCATGGTCACAAACTCCGAGCGTGTCTAAACCGTACTGGCATTCGCTTACAGTGGCATCTAGCATCCATTTCTTGGCTAGATCTGATATGGCATCTAGCTAGATCTGAATACCGCGTACGTCTGTAGCGCCGCGTGGGACTGCCTGACCGCCCGCCTGCCGTCTGTGCCCAGGATCCGGCCGACGGGGCGTGGCGGCCGCCGTCGGCCGACTGGGCGGCGCCGCTGGCGCAGCTCTGGTCTCCGCTGGGCGCGCCGCGACCGGCTGCCGTGCGCGACCACAACCGGCGGCTGGGCCAGCTGGCGCCGTACTGCGCCGTCTGTCAGCTGGAGTGGCCGCCGACCGACGGTGGCGGCGCCAGCCGGCGACAGGGCGACACCGCCGAACGCCACGGTACGGCCGCCCGGCGGTGCAGAGCGCCGAGGTGGCGGACCTTAATGTGGACCTTACTTAAGTAGAACATAGGTTGTCCACGATTATTTTCGGTGTGGTTTTGTGATCGATGGCTATGGTGCGGTTTCGTGATCAAGTGGGTCGATGGAGCTGACTGACCGAGCATGGTGTTAAAATAAGTGGCACACCCATTTATAGAACTCAGCACTGACGTGCCTCTCAGACAGCTGACCCTCGGGGGCGTGGGCTGTTGTCCGCGTGTGGTGCCGCGCAGCGCCCTGACGCCGTCGTGTCGCCGGCGCCGGCAGGGGAGGAGCGCCGTCTGGTCTGCCGCTTGTGTCTGGTGTGCGTGCACCCGCGCTGTTGCGGTTTGCCGGACGCGGCGCAGGACGACTGGACGTGCCCGCCGTGCAGCCGAGCCGACCCGGTACGTGGATGCGCCTCCGGGCCTCCCAACACCCACCCCTCGGCTCAGTGGAGCCTGTCCAGACGGCCAGATCGGAGTGCTGCGACGCGGCGTAATGGGCGCAGTGAGGCGTCTCTCAGGACGTGGCTTAGCCATGGTACTTGAGCTGCCGCTTCCGTGACGTTACCCATCTGTCGCTGTGCTCTCGTGCTGTCAGTCGTTACCTCGGCCGGACAGCCTGTGTGCTGGCGCAAGCTCGCGTCAGCGGCAGGCTGGGCACGCCGGTCGTGCGTGTCATGTTGACGCCAGTGACGCGTGCGCGCGCAGGCACAGGACGCCGACTGTCAGCTGTGCTGCCTGCGGGCGGGCGCGGTGACCCTGGGCGCGGACGGCCGGGCCGTGCACCTGGTGTGCGCTGCCGCCCTGCCGGCCGTGGTGGTGGCCGGCTCGGACGCCGGCGCCGCCACCGTCACCTTCAGCCCCCAGCGGGTAAGGCTCTTGTGGATGGTATACCGGCGAGCAACGGTATACCCTGGTGATGTACTGC